CAATTGCACCATCCCACCCTCATCCTCATCCCCACTCAATCAAAGACATACAAGGACGCCACATTTCACTTATACCCCCGATACACACTCAATACCCCACAGGTCCAGGACATGTACCCACCCCCTATTGGAGGCAGCACACACCCAAACCCAGGCGGTAGACCCAATCATTCTGAGGTGGAGAGGAGCAGATAGCCAAGGCCTATGGCATATGACATTAGCTCTAATGCAGGGGGGTCAAACTCCTTTTCACTGAGGACCCTGAGCATGATGTTGACCCTCAGAGGACCAGGTGTAACTAACTTTGATGTTTCACACACAGCTGTTGATCGATGTTGCCGCAGCGGCTCAGGTTTCTGTTTTAAAGATCACCAGCTTTCAGAATCAGAATCTTTATTGTCATTCACACACAACATCAATATGCAGTGTAGAACTAAATTTGCAGTTTAGAACATCCGTCCGGAGAAACAAACACACATGACAAACATGGGGGAACGAATGTCCAGGGTCTTTYGCAACTTAGTGCGCTACCTTTGCAGTTTAGAATACACACACAATAGAAAGGGTGAGTTAAAAAATGAGCTTTGATCTTGTGTTTTGTACAGAAACACACAAACATACGCTCAAAAAAACTACTCTGCATAGAGCAAGAGCAAGTCAGCTTGGGGGGCGGGGGGCTTAGGTCAGATAACACATAAAGGGGAGGTAAAATGGGGCAGGTTCAGAGGAGTAGGTGACATTGAGTGAGGGGGGGGTCCATGCTAGACCCAACCCTGGGCCCATCCAGAGTCCAGTGTCACATGATGTTATTGTCTCTACTCAGTTCGTTAGAGTTCAGAGTTTTCCTCCTCCTCAGCCATTTTGGGGTCAGGGTGGAGTCCAACACAAGTGATGGGGGTGGGAGCGAATCCAGCTCTTTGTTGACATTCCATCCTGGGGAGGTTGAGATAAACACTGCTATCAAGGCTGTGCCACTGGGAGCCAGATAGATAAATCAATTATTTTGGAACAAAGTAGCCTTGAAATTCCTGCTGCTTTTTAAAGTGTCTTAACTGCAACTCTGAAGTGGCAAAAAAAAAAAAGCCAATCAGCCGAATTTGGGGTCATTCCTCACCTCTCACCGTCTGAAGCTCACCCAGATGCCATAGGGTCACTCCTGAGCTGTGATCCTCGTCAGAATCACATCCAGTTTGCGAATTTTTCCCACAGCTGAGAGTCTGTGTGCTACCAGCCTGGCAGAATCCTTCAAGTACACCTGACAGCTCTTCAAAGGCCCGATCCACTGTCAGGGTCGCTTTCACTTTTCAATAAATCTGGAACCCTCCTCCGCCGATCAGCAGGAATCCAGTTAGCATAATTCAATTATATATAGATCTTCCATGTCTTCGATGGAAAGTGGTACTGGCATATCAGATTCCAACCCTAGGAATCAGACAAGTCGAGCAGCAACCATTTCACCCAGATGGCCACGTTCCCCTCGTTCCAAGTGTGGAAAAAAATTGTGTGTGTGTGTGTGGGTGGGGG